CTAGGCTTTTACCTCAGAGACATTGCTATGGGTATGGTGGAGCACGCCTTTAATCCCAGCACTGGCCAGGCAGAGGCAGGCAGACCTCTGTTGGTGGACTTTTCGGCGGACCACCAATCAGCTCTGTCCCGCAAGCGGCTCCCCAAATGACCACACAAGACTTATTATTAATGCCAGGCTTAGCTAACTCCCTTGGGAGGCCTTATCCTCTCTGAGGATTGGGGGGGGGGGCTAGGGGAGAAGAGAGGTGAGCAGGAGTGGAAGGAAGGGGAACTGTGGTTGGTATGTAAAATGAATAAAAAAATTAAAAATAAAAAACGTATTATTCATTATAAATGCTGGGCCAATAGCTTAGGCTTATCTCCAGCCAGCTCTTACAACTTGAATCAATGCGTTTCTATTCATCTACGTGCTGTCCCGAGGCCCTTTCACCTCGTTTATGAATTTCCCATGTTGCTTCTTCGCAGTCTGACTCCTCCAGCTCCGCCCTCCTTCTTCCCAGCATTCTCTCTGCTCCAAAAATCCTGCCCAGCCACAGTCAGCACTTCATTAACAATGAGAGCAACTCATCTTCACAGTGTTGTACAGCAGGGTTAATCCACAGCAGGTCTCTGTGAGTCTGAGGCCAGCCTAGTCTACACAGTGAATTCCAGGACAGCCAGAGCTATGTAGAGAGACCCTGTCAATAAATAATAAAGACCAAAGCAAAAATCAAAAACATCTGTCATCCGTCTTGGGGTTTAAACAAAGAAGAGTACGTATTGGCTTACCCCCTGACTTCAGGCTTAGAATGTCTTTCTACCTTTTGTCTCTGTTTCCTTCTGGGATACTTTGTCTGCAGTCAAGATGATTACCCATCCCTGCGTCCTGTCAGCCAGCTAAAAAAAAAAAAAAAAAAAAAAAAAAAAAAAAAAAAAACAAAAAAAAAAAGAATCACAGGACTGAGATAACTGTGGTTAACTCATTAATACACTTTTAATGCCAGCACTCTGGAGACTGAGACCGGAAGATCTCAATTTGTTAATACTGCCCCCGACAGGATCTAAGATCCCCTAAGAGACAAGCCTCACACTTGAGGGCAATTATCTAGCTTAGGTTAGCCTCTGTGTGTTCCAAAGGATGGTCTAGAGTAGGTTTATTTAAGTGGGAAGAAATACCCTGAATGTGGATGGCACTGTCCCATGGGCTGACATCCCCAAGGGCATGAAAAGGAGGGTGGACATGGCTCTCTGCCTCCTGATTGTTTATACAATGTGACAGTGACTCCCTGCCACAATGGACTGTACCCTTGGTATGAGCCAAAATAAACCCTCCTGTAAGTAGCTTTCTCCAGGTATTTTTCATACCAAGAGACAAAACAAAAACACTGACACACAAATTAAAGAGTCCAGTATGAGCCAGGTGGTGGTGGCGCACGCCTTTCATCCCAGCATTCAGGAGACAGAGGCAGGTGGTTCCCTGTGAGTTTGAGGCCAGCCTGGTCTACATAGAGAATTCCAGGATGGCCAGGGCTACATATACCCTGAAAAAAAAAAAAAGAAAAGAAAAGAGAGAAAAAAGAAGAAAGGCCAGCCTTGGCTCCACAGAACCCCTCCCCCTAAAAAAAGTCCCAACAAAACAAAAAAACACAAAACAAACAAACACAAATAAATCATAGGATGGGTTTTCATGGGTTTGAATTGAGTCTTCTGGAACCAGTCACTGTAGTAGGAATGATGAAGGGTTTCCATGGTCCTAACCTAGGCCATGGACCCTCAGAAGCTTGGTATCAGGTCAGTCTCATGGACAGAGTAGAAGAGGGGTTATAAAAGCACATTGGTCTGGCATGGTGGTGCAGGCCTTTAGGCTCAGCATTCAGGAGGCAGAGGCAGGTGGATCTCTCTGAGTACAAGTCCAGCCTGGTTTACATGTAAGTCTCAGGCCAGCCAAAGTTACATAGTGTGAGACCTGGTCTCAAAAAACAAAACAAAACAAAACCCTAGGCAGAAGACAAGGGATTGACCTATGATGCCTTACTAGTAGGAATGCTGAAAATTACTGGATGTAGAAATGGACCCAGGCTGCTGAGATGCAGAGAAAACAAGAAGGAATGTGAAAATTCCCTGAAATCCACTTCATGGCAATTCCAGGGCTCATGCCTAGAATCTAGCACCCCTGAGGCAAAGGCAGGAAGGTGGGGAGTTCAAAGTCATCCTCTGCCACATGAGTTTGCAGCCAGACTTGGTTACATGAGACACTGTCTTATTCCATGCCTCTTAAAAAAAAAAAAATCCAAAGTAGAATAGAGTTCTCTGGATTGCCAGAGCATCAGGGATACAAATTGGAGTGTTAAAAGGTGAATGGCTCTAAAACCTGGGTGCTCTGGAATGCCCGTGAACCCCAAACTCTGGAATTTTTTTTACATGCCAGGATAGTCCTGGGGGATATGTGAATTCTAAGGAATCTACGGGTATGTGGGAGCTAGAGTGTCAGACAATCTAAAATGTGAGGGTGCTTTGTGATGATCAGAAGCCTAGAACACTGACATTATTTTTTTTCCCATGCCAGAAAACTCTTGTATTTCTGGAATGCTCGGGATTCCAGAAGAAGCAGAGCATATTGTCAAATCCAAGTGTTTGGTTTTTTTTTTTTTCAATACTAGGAATGAAATAGTGTACCTAGGAGAGAACAATGTGGAGAATCTTCTAGAAGGCTGTGGTTCAGAGTTCTAGAGGATTTTGAAGTGTTGCGATCCTACTAGGATCTGGAAAATAACATAAAAATGACCTGAAAATAAGAAATGGCAACTGGAGACTCCAAATTCAGGGGGGAAGGGAAGCCAGTCCCATCCCTGCCATCCCCGGAAGTTGCAGTGGTGAGCCAGAGGCTGTTGCCTAGCAACGAGCATTGACGATGCCCTGGATCCTGGGCAGAAGGGAGAAATTTCGGCAGCGCCCCCAGCAAATGCTCCAGCCACAGGGTAGGATATGGGGAGGGGAGAGACAGGTGAGGGACATGGTGTCCCACGGGGCCACGTGAACAGGGACTTAGGGGTGGCACACAAAGACAGAAGTGTGGAGCAGTTAATGGTCAAAGCTAGCACTCCATTACTGCACTGGGTCAGTCTACAAATAGCCGTGAATGAGCCCTGGCGGCCAACACGACTGCTCCTGGGGCCTGCATGTCCCTGTACAGCCGGGTGGGCCCTGATTTCTAGGTGTTAGCGTGGGATGGAGGCAGGTGTTGCTGTAGGTGGCGGTGCAGGGGGGAAAGTGGCTGTGTGAGTCAGCCCGTGTGGCTCATTGCAGGGAGGGGTGGGGTGTGCGTCCTGTATACCTTCCGTTGGAAAAATGGGAATAGTGACAACGTGAATCTGGAACATTCCCTGTTCTCAGTCTGCGGAGGGTGGTGTAGTAGAGCCTGAGGCCTGATTACCCTCTCTGGCTGGAACCCCCATATGCCTGGGGGCAGGGCTAATGCTTTCTCTCAGTCAACGAGCTGGCTGGTGAATGGTGGGCGCACACCTGTGGTCTTCAAACATAGGAGGTCAAGTAGGAGGAGCAGACATCCAAGGTCAAGTCCAAGCAAAACCGAGGAACAAAACAGTTGAACTGTTGAGAGATGAGGCTTCAAGCCCAGAAATGGAACAACAGAGGAAGATGGGGTTTGGGATCCCAAGGGAAACTGTGCCCCATTTCTCTGTCTGAAGCTCAAGCAAAAGAGGGAACTCGAGGGGGGAGGCAAGGTGGGAGCAGCCTGGAGCTCTAGGGGGTTGTGAGGCTGAGTAAAGACGGTGGGAACTTGAGGTTGGTTTATTTGAAATAGGTTCTTTTGTTTTGTTTTGTTTTGTTTTTCGAGACAGGGTTTCTCTGTGTAGCTTTTGGAGCCCGTCCTGGAACTCGCGCTGTAGATCAGGCTGGCCTCGAACTCACAGAGATCCCACCTGCCTCTGCCTCCCAAATGCTGGGATTAAAGGCGTGCGCCACCACTGTCAGGCTTGAACCAGGTTCTTGCCATGTAGCCCAGGAAGGTTCTGAATTTGCTGCTAGACCAGGCTGGCCTGGAGATTCTCAGGCTCCCCTTTCCCAAGAGCTGGCATTCCAGGGCTGAGACTACCACGTCAGACTGGAACTCAAGTTCATAGGGAAGAGGGGCTGGGCTTGAGACTCACTGAGTTTGGAGGTTGTGATGAGGGCCTGGACCCTGGAGCTAACTAAAGGGACTGGGTGGGCTTAGATCTCCTGTAGCCTAGGCTCCTCCTCCACCCCACCCCAAAGGAGAGGATTGGAGGTCTTCAAGAACAAAGGTATTGGTGGTTGGGGGAGACTTTAAGGAGTGAGGCAGGGAAGGGGTTCTGGTGTCTTCTAGGGACCAAGGCAGAAAGGGGTGTGGGAGGGGTAGAGCTGGGAGTCCTCAGGGAGCT